AGTCTTACCCACTAATAGAGACCCCATATTCCCCTTTAATGAACTCATTCATAGCCCACATAGCCTAGGTGGCCTGCAACTCGCTTTGTAGATCAGGATAGTCTGTATCTGGGAGATCTGCCTGTTTCTCCCTCCTATAAACTGGGATAAAGGTGTATATGACTTGTCCTCCTTTGTGCCTTTTATTTTTGAGATTCTGAATCTTCATGTTTTTCTTTCATTACTTGTTTCAGTTGTCTTATTAATCATTACTTCAAGAAGACAGCAGCCACTTGGGCACTGGATTTGTTCTAGGTCATTGTGATCACAGTGATGTATGATATGGAAATTTGAGGGCTGGCTTTTAAGGAGCTGTCCTAGTGACAGTGTATGATGGATGGCAGTGTGATCTCTGGAGGCTGAAAACTTTTCTGAACAGTATTTATTCCATGGAGATCAGAGAAGACAAAGCTGGTAACTTTCACTTGTCTCCTTTCTACACTTTCACCTTTCTTCACTCTACAGGGCCTTCTGAATTTATTCTATAAGTATCCAGAATACATTATTTCTTTGTAAAGAGCCAAGGATCTGCTTTTCCGCAAAGCATTTTTGTTTTTAAATACTTAATAGACTCGATGAACAAATGAACAACTGAGTCTCGCTCTGCATTGCACTAGGAACTGGACTAGTGAGAGGTTCAGTGAGAAATTTTCACACAACATATATTCAGGATCTATATCTACTTATGTATCTATGTACGTATGTATGTATGTATGTATCTATCTATCTATTATCTATCTATCTATCTATCTATCTATCTATCTATCTATCTATGGTCTCTCTGTGTAGCTCTGAATGATGGGATTAAAGGTGTGTAGTGCAACAACATGCAGTAGATCCAGAATCTTAATATTGCCCCTGAACTCCAGTTAGCTTATCAAGCCTGAGTGGTAGTGATGCCCTGATGCAGATGTTAAAAGTTTATGTGTACACATAAAATGTGCTTTTTTGAAAAACTACAGGTGGCTTGCTGCAATGTTTATTGCTCTTTGCTTTTAAAAACATTGATAGTGACAGTGATAATGATAAGATAAAAAGCAGCGAGGGAGTTGGAGTACCTTTGTCTGGCTGTGCCAATGTGTGCCCTTGAGAAATAATACCATGTAACAGATTTAGTGTAAGAGGTTTATTAGGGGAGGAGAGAGTGAGAGGCCTGCTCAGTGTGGGGAAAGAGGGAGAGCTAGAGGCAGACAGATGGGAAGAGAGATGGGGGGAGAGAGAGAGAGAGAGAGAGAGAGAGAGAGAGAGAGAGAGAGAGAG